CAACAGCATATAATTTAATATTTTGTGAATATTTTTGATAAATACAGAAACACTCTAAAGACTCACAGAATTGGAGCTTTTCTTTCCCTTTTGTGTATAGCCTGAAATTGATACAGAAGCATAGCCATTCCTAGGAGTTGGGAGCTAAATCAAAATGGACTCTGGGTGTGAGAGTTTCTTCTGAGTCAATATTGAGCAGGCTCTGCTATGGGGTATGTTTCCTATGAATTTATTTCATGAAACTCAAATATAAGATCACTGTGTCAGGAATACCACATCACCCAATCTCAGGAGGCATCATTTTCTAGAAGGCAGTGCTAATATTCATTCCCCAGTCACACATGCTGCCTAGCATTACTTAAGGGCATTAACAGAGTGAACTCATAGACACTCTTCTACTTTGAGAACTTTCTTCCATATACTCAAGAGAGTTTCCAGTTTGAGATTCAGGTAAATTTTTCCTTGAGAGTTAAGCAGACATCTGATTAATCTTTTATAACATTGAGTTAAGTTGTCAAATCAGTATGATTACGTCTATGTAACTCATGGATAAGATGGGTATTTTTAAAGGATACAGATAAGGAATGGATGATGGAAATTTCAGAAATTTCATCTGTGTAGATGAGATGAAGCCCAAATGAGTGGGGCTTTGGCAGCCGATATGGAAAGGGACTATAAGGGGCCTGGTAGAGGAAAGAGAGGGTTAGGATGTAGACAGCAAGAAACTGAGAAGTGTAGAGAAAGGGCTCCATGTAGGATTCAAATACAACATGCAAAATATGGCACAGAAATAGCCCTATCTACTTAGTATGAAAGGTTCATAATAGAATGAATGAGAATAAGTTGTCTCTAAACCCACAAGTACAGTAGTCACAAGTACCATAGCCACTAGTATAGCTTTACTTCTAATATTATCACATTTCTATCCTCCTTTATCCTCTCTCTGTCCTCCTGAATCTCCCTCTATCCTGCAGTGAAGTTTTGCTTCTCCATAAATTTAATGAGATATGTGTACATTATGCCAAGGAGAGCCATCTTCCTATATTATCTCCCTTAGAAGTCCAGTTTAGAGTACCAGTTTCTCATAGCACCAGTTGGATCACAAGTAGGGTGTTTTCAATCAGTCCTTTAGCTAGAAGGGGCAAGCAGGAGGACCAAACTCACCCACACAGAGTCCGAAGAATGTGCTCCATGAATTCCATCAGCTCATTCTTCCTTAACTTCCCTCTTACATAATTTTTCCTTTATGACATTTTCATAGCTATCTTATAATAAATACCACAGGCAATGGCACTCCTTTGCATTGTCAAGCCTTCTACCCAAAATGCCCCATCTGTCCTGACTTAGCTCCAGTATGGTCTGATCTTCTCCTGTAGACTTTAGACTTTCTCTCTCTTTACTTCCCAGTTCCACCTGAGTTGGATGCCATGGCTCCTCTTCTCATCTGGACACAATTTTATTCTCATTTAATTTTGATTTGTTTCTCTGTTGCCCTCCGCAAATTCAAGGGCATTTGGTTAAAAACAGAGATGATTTTTCAAATGCTAAGATAGTAGTATCTGATGGTGCCTGCCACTTAGGATAATTTTAATAAATATTGAAGGAGTAAATTTTTTTTCTGTTGATTGGACTCTTCATGAAGGGGTTTTGTGTCATTTTTCTTAATTTTTGCAGAGCAATATAATGCTCTGTAAAAATTAGAAACCTGCAAATATTAAAAAAAACATAAGAACAATTATGAAGGAGTATCAAGTGAATGGCATTGTAGAACAAAATACAGTAGTTTCCCCTTATCTTTGGTTTTGCTTTCTGTGCTTTCAGTTATGCACAGTCAATCATGGTCTGAAAATATTAAATGGGAAATTCCAGAAATAAACAATTTTTAATTGTGTGCTGCTCAGACAGCATGATGAAATTTTATGTTGCTCACTCTGTCTTCTCCACTAATGGGATTCCTCCTTTGATCCAGTGTCTCTTTACTCTTTCTGTTACTTTTCCATTATTTGCTTAGAGCCACCTCTGTTATCACATCAACTACTGCTGTATTATAGTGTACAAGCAAATGCCAAAAGTGTAGTTGCCAAATGCTACATCACAATATCTATGCCATTCACCTTGCTTCCTCTCATCACCCTGGACAATTGTGTCATCCCATATAATCACAAGAAAAAATGGTGAGTATAGTACAACAACAAAGTCTGAGAGAAACTATAAATGCATAACTTTTATTATAATATATTATAGTTGTAATCATTCAGTATGTATACTGTATAAATTACCTTTATCATAGTTATGCACATTCAGGAAAAAGCTTAGAACATATAGGGTTCAGTACTATCCACAGTTTGAGGCATCCACTGCTTGAATGTATCCCTGAAGACCAGTGGAGACGATGTAGTATGTGTGGAAAGTGAATAAAAAGAAGAAACAGTGCAGTGGGATATCAGCTAAATGTGAGAATGAGGTCAGATGGAAAAGGAAATCATGGCTAGAGGAAAGAGTGAGGAGGATAAGAAAAATAACATTGACACTGTGGTGGGCAGAGAAATCAGCCTGACAGAAAGTTCTGAAAAAGGAAGATCTTTCTGCAGCCTGTCCCCAAGAACACAGTCAGGAAAGCCAGATAAGAGGCTTTGTAAGTAATCCTGCCTTTTAACAGTAACACATCACCAAGCAAATTACAGGGCTGATCATAGAATCAATACAAGAAAGCAAATATTTGACACTGAAATTTGTTCAGAGGAAGAGGAAGCAACATGTCCTATAAATGGCACATGCCCCGGGTATGTAAATATGGTGGCTTGATGCTCTTGGTCAGAAGATAGTGGCTTCAGCTTGAGCGAGTACCTCTAATATTATAAAAACACCACACTTAGAGTTTGAATGTATTGGATCATATGGAAGATAAAGTCTTGAATGCACTCAGAAGAGAGCCCAAATTTTTCTATTAAAAAAAAAAACTTTTCTAGAATGAATTAAAATTTTATATTTGTTACTTCATATTTTTATTTAATACTTTTAAAAAAATCTCTTTTATACTCAATTAGGTAGACTTTATATCACTCATTTAAGCACATAAAACTGAAAGTAAGAGCAAAATAAATTGGTTAAGGAATTCCTAAAACAATTTTCCTGTAAACAGTTTTGTAAATTGTAACTGAATACTATAAAGTGCAAGTATTCAAAGTGTACAAATTGCTCATTTTAATGTATGCATATGCTGGGAAACCACTACAATTAAGATAATGGATATATTTATTACCCCTGAACATTTTCTTGGATTTAAGGTAATCCATCCTTGCCTCTACCCTATCCCTGAGCAATCACTGGTCAGCCTTCTTACATGCTAGTGTATTTATTTTAGAATACTATGTAAGTACAGAATAAATATTTTCTTTTTTTTTTTCCATTTACTTCTTTGGACTGTCTTTATTCACTCTTCAGAATGAGTTTGCATTTCTCCATGTGGTTTGTATGCATCAATAATCATTTTTATTGTTTATAGTTTTCACTATATAGATAGCCTAGAATTTGTCTCTCTGGGTAGCCTTTTTGAAATTATGATACATGCATGTATATCTCTTTCTTAAAAGTGTCCCTAGGGAAATTTTTAGTCTATCCATTCCTCATTTCTCACCTCTGTAAATGTATGGGTTGAATGTCTATTTTATAGATGTTTTATGATAATTAAACCATTGAACACATTGCTTAGCACATAGTAACTAATGAACATTAACTTATTTTCTAAGTTTCCATTCAATTGCCTGATGGTATTAATTATAACACTTTCCTTCCATTAAAATACTTTTTCTGTTTATTTTAGTGTCTAATTACCTTGACCATTACAACAATTCTTGCCTTATATTTCATTAAACAAAAATAAGGCTACCAGTATGGTTGTCTTCTTAAATTATGATCATTCTTTTGGTTTCTATTGTCCTCTGTAACTGACTAATCACTTTTTGCCCAATGCTGTACACAGGTGCTCAGTGAGAACACAAAGTCTATATAGGCAAGACTTAGAGCCAACAATCAGGAAAGATGAATGTCCACTTCTAGTAATTATCAGCTGTGGTTTCATTGCAAATTTTGTGTTTTAGTGAGATGATGTGTCCACTTGAGGAATTTTAGGGGAGGGACGATAGTTGGAGAGGACCCTGGATGTGAGGAAGCAGCTAGAGCTCTTCTTCTAGTGCCGCCACAGTGGAGTTCCCTTTGTTTTCTTTTGTAAATCATATTTTCCTCACTGCTGCTCATTTAAAGTGTGCCCACACTGAATTTTTTTGCCTAAATCATACTCCCTCTATTACATATACTATTATATATTTAAATATACATATAAAAATATAACAGTGTTGTATGTAAATATACACCAGTGTTGATTTTTCTTTCTCTTCATATTCTTCATGTTATGCCCCACTAAGCTAGCAAATCTATTTCAGGTGGCAGGTGGCAGTGGATGAAGGAATTTAAATTTCCCCTGTGAATGTTGGAAGTGGAAGTGAGGGCTGTGAGATCTCTTTGTTTTGCTCTGACACCAATTCTAGTCTCTTACATTTGACCTGATTTATACATGTTTTGATTCAACAAAAAAATGGTGCTTGTGGTAATGCCTGTGTGTAAAGTGGGTAACAGACCAGTGAAATTATGAATGAGAAGAGAAAATTTCCTCAAGGTGATTAGTGGACACCATGGTTTCTATATAGAAGGATGAGTATATTGTAATGCTATTAGAAATTTCTTAATAGAACTAGGAATTCTGAATATGGGTGGGCCACCTACAAACTTCTGAAGTCTTCTGTCATTACAGTACTACCTACCTATAAAAATCCCATTAAATAAATAACTACAAAGCAGTTACCTTCTATTTACTACTCAGAGAGGTGGAGACTCATTTATTTAATTTTAAATCCTAATTATGCATAGGTACTTGCACCCACCAAGAGTTTTCATGGACAAGTAACTATTTTGAATAATATAATGCTTTTATATTTTATCAGGATAACACTGTAATATGCAGAAATCTACAACTTCTAATACCTCTGTGGAGATGCTGAATTCCACCCACCAAGGCACAGGAGCTGTGCAAATGAGAATAAAAAATGCCAACAGCCACCACGACCGGCTGAGCCAAAGTAAATCCATGATCCTCACCGATGTTGGGAAGGTCACTGAACCTGTAAGTCAAATGCTCCAAATACCCCAAGTTCCCTTATCATACAGAATTTTTAAAGCTAATTAGCTTTGTTTTATTTGTTTTCCTAATGTGCATGAGAAACTGTTTTTGTAATGCATTTTATCTTGCCTACTTATAGTCATAATAATATCCCCAGTTGCATGAGAAGAGCTGGGTCTAATCCAAAGCGATAAAGTGGATTTGGAGCTAGGCTGAAGAGCACCTTTGACTCATTTTAAGGGCTTCTACTATCATGCTTCAGTGTCATAAAAATAATGAGGTTATGCTAGCATGTGGTGTTTGTACTTCCAAATACAGTACATCACGTTGAAAAGCCAGAGGCTAAAATTAGCCAAGAATGAACTGAGAAAAAAAAATCTTTGAAAACATGTGAAAAATCTTTTCCTTAAAATCTCGCAGTAATATATGATAGTGGAAATTGTGATTGGATTTGGAATAGGCTTACACGATTAGAATGGTGTGGCTAGTTAAGGTTTGGAGAGGAAGCCATTCTGTCTAGATAATGTGTCATTAGGAAGATTTGAAATAAAATAGTTAGAGATGAACTCTACTGCCAATTGTGTCCCTGGCCCTGCACACATCCTGAGCCACTAAACCCACTGATTGCGATGAGTCTCCTCTGGTTAATTTTCTTCCATAATGGTGGTAACTTGCAGCTGAGGCCATAGGATGTTACAAAATTATTTATGCAATGTTAGCCACTCTTTTGGACCCCAGATCTATTTTGTTTCTCACAGTGAGAACAAGAGCAAGAAATAGGTTAGCTGGGGACAGACTGTAAGTCCCAGTCACCCTGCAGAAACATGTGAGCTATTAATTGAGTGTTCTGTTAATATCGTAGGGGCCTATGAAATATTCAGCTCCCTAACTGAGTTATTAAATGAGATAAACTTGCTGACTAGCATGCTACAGATTATATTTATTCCCCATTTTTCACTTGAATTTCAAGTGCAGAATTAACCCGGAGTACTCTCAGGAGCTTGAGGAACACATGAATTTAATCATTCTTTCCTCAGGTGTTGTAGACACATTTAGCATGAGGAAGCCAGTGATTATATCGGGGGAATCAGAAATACATCTTTATATAAGATAACTAATGGAAAATGCATTTTTCTTTACTCAATTTCTCATTTAAAAGTATTGTCTGCTGGGAGGCATGACACTGTTGTTAGTTGACTTCACTTTTAAAGCATCTAAAATGTTCCTCAAGTATAAGCTTGAGATAGTGGTTAGAGTAAATTATTGGATTCTCTCTATATATTATCAGTAAGAATTGTACCTTTGAAAAAGTTTAAAAGTTAAGTATATTTAATGATGCCTAACATATTTTATTGGCTGTGTTTAACAAAAGGCACTATGCCGCAGTTGTTTTTGACAAGCATGAAAACATCACAGCATGAGACTGCAAAAGGAATTATGGAGAGAAATTACAAGTGATCCATCTCTCAATGAATTATCCACCTCAATAGCCCGCAGAACTCAGCTACCAATTAACACCTACTTTATTACATGTTGGGATGTACTTAATAACTTTCATGTGTTTATGCACTATTACCTTGACTGATGCCTCTTGTACAATTAGGCATAATTGGCATATCAATATGCAAAAGTTAAAAGGATTAACCCTCTTAAAACTAATGAGCATTTCTGTATCCAGCTGCTAAATGAGACAAAATTAGCATTTTTCACTTTTGGGCAGGATTTTATCATGCAGTTTCTCATTGTTGATATTACCTTGTTACATAACTTTAGTTTGGGGGGTTGTATGCTGGACTGCTCGAGAATAAGAGTTTTCCAAAGTTAAATTAGCTATAATTATCCCAGCTTTTGTTTCCGAATTCTTAGCCTGGGCAATATGTATTCCTCGATAAGGAACAAAAATAAAAGTTACTTTTGGTTATGTGTGCTCAGTGCATAATTATATAAAAGGGGTATTTTAGTGAGGATATGTCATTTCACCGAGAAAACTTGGCTCAGAGATACTGTATTGAAAGCTTGCCATGGCACTAATTTTCTTTCTGTCTCAGTTCTTTTCATCTCTTTTTCCATGCACAATTTTCTGACTAGATACTGACAGAATGTAAAGTATTTTGGCATATTTATTCAAACAAGCCTGTTAAAGTTATCTGCTCAAGCTAAACTAAGAACTTGATTTTTTCAGAAGTTGGGTGATGGGGTGAGGTCAAGGAAGAGATTTTGAATTTAGGAGAAGTGGGAAGAGATGTCTTCTAACCTGCCCGTGTTCATGTGAAGTACACTTAGTTGTAACAGAAATTCATATAAAATTGCATACTTAGAGACCGTACACATGTTTTGCATCCTATTTGATAAATGTCTAATATATAATTTGTTCACCAAGTATAATGGTTATATAAGTCTTATATAGACTTATCCAACTCTACAATGCACAAGAATCTTATATTACATAATTCATATTGATATGTTATTACAAAAATGAGATTAAATATTTCTGATATCACGTTGATTGAATCACTTTGTCATTCACTCATGAAATTTTTTTTATTTTGTTCAATTAAAAATATTTTATCATGATTATATACTTAGAACACAGTATAAAATTCATATATGGCATTAAGAGCCTCTAAATATAAGTATTTTGATATGTCAGAATAAGCATTTACTCAAGCCTGAGCTATGAAAAACACAGGTGAATTTACTTTTAATTTACAAATTTTGATAACTTGAAATATTGTCGGAAAGCATTTCAGTAAAACAGGTATTAGTGTTCCCTTAAATTTCATAGGTGATAGCCCTCATTTCCTTAAACACCAAATACTTATTTTTATTTGGTTAATTAGTGCTTTTTTCAAATTTCAAAGAGATTACTTGGCTACCTGGGGAATGTTGAGAGGTGGGAAATATGGAGTACAGGGTTTGTAAGAAAATTGCCTATCAAGTAAGAGAGATCTGGAGAGCTGCATTCAGTGGGGAAGGAAGCTCTTTGGTCTTGGTGATTTGTTGTCCCATCCTGAGCCCTAGAGTGAGGCCTCTTAAAGGTGAATGGCTTATTTACCAGAATGTGTTGAACAGAAAGCAGACAGCTGACTGCGAGTAAATGGGGCAAGTGAAGTGCGCCTGTTTAAGGGCTAAAAAGGCTAATGTGCAATCCTGCAAATAGCTAATGTGAAAGGTTTACGTGCTTTGATGTTATTTATAAGAGGGATGCTCTAGCCTACTAGACAGTGTAGAATAGATATTAATGAAGAGTTTAAGTAGTCCAAATCAGGAAACTGCAGACATAGGATTCGCAGGCAGGAGTAATTTAGGCATTTAATGCTGGTGTCTTAAGCAGCAACATGTATGAATATTCACAGTTTCCCTCTTGCAAACCCACAGAAGGGCATTACTTCATTCATGGCCGTCGTGAACAGGAAAATATCTTTTTATTGGTGTTCAGATAAAGACTTAGGTCAAGACATTCCTAAACGTTAACATACAAGATTCCTTTTACTTCCATTAACAGATTGTGTTTGTTCATTTTTCTTTTTAATGCATTATCAGGAAAAAGAGGAAACAATTTTCTTTTGTTTCTTACTTCTGTGATTATAGGATACTTGCCAAAGTTGTGGCTAGCCAAAAAGGCAGACATAAAAATTGCTACTAAAAATATAAACCTTCTGTTTAGCAGAGTTTTTGAGAAATATTATGAGATTGTAGGGCTTGTCCATGTTTACTCCAAATCAAGCTTATAGTTAGGTTTGAGGCTTTGTTTGTATAAATTGTCCTGAAGTGGATCCTGATATTTAATTAAAATGACACTAAATCACATTGAATTGATAAGACTTGGCATCTCAAACAAAGGTAATTGCCCGTATTGGTTTTGTGCAAAAATAGCACTGCTTGGAAAATGTGCAGCCAACACAGACTGTCAACTCCATTTATAGATCAATATGTGAAAACCATTGATCAGGCAGGCATGTGTAACAGTAACACTTTGCATTTATTTGTTGTTTTTATACCACATTAAGGCTTACAGGATTATAGGCTTCCTAAATATTTTGACTTCCTCATAAATATATGATCTGTTGCATGTTAATTAAATGAGAGTCTGCAGCCATTTCTAAAATTGTTTTTAGTTTGATGATTTCCTTTTATTGCTGTGGATCGCATGATCTGAAAATGGATTAGTTTCCTTCTGCATAAAGATTATTAAAGCTTATTTTAATGTGTCCTATTTAGTGTAAGATGTGACTGCCTTTTTGCTTTGAAAAATATAGATACCAACAATTATTTTCTCTTAGCGAGTGCCTGATCTTTTTTTATTAACTGGGCATTCTCAGCACTCAGGGTAGAATTATTTCCTGACATATTTTGCACACCCTGTAGATAACGGGTCTTTTTGATTTCCCTGATAGAATTTGTTTTCTTTTTTTTCTTTTTATCTAGCTCTATGATGCAGGCATCTGATCAAACATTATGTAGAAAATAAACTGATCATCTCAATTAAATTCCACACACACACAAATATAATTTGAATTCTGTTTTTTCTGATTTGAGAATAAGCCTTATGAACTGTTCTTACATGCTGCATTCTGCAGTTAAATCTTTCTTATCTCATCATGTAAGGACAGTGTTCTGTTCCTAATCTTTATTGGACTATTGTAGATGACATTTGTAAGCCATTTTGGTTTATAAGGAAAAGCTAGAGGACAGTGGAGTGAGACTCTCCATAGATCCAAGCCTCTGATATGACTACGCAATAATGTGTCTTCCACTGCAATTTTCTTTGCCACTGAGAGGTCAATTCTGTTGAAAAATCTTTTTATATCCTCTCTATACATTAGGAGTGCTGCTTTCACAAGAAAATATTTAGTTTTATATGCAGTATTAGAATTTACAGTATTTATACACAATATTAGAATAATGAAGGAAACATGATTTCAGAAACAGCAAAAACTATATCAACAAATGAACAAAAAATTCAAAGGTTACCTAAAGTAAGTAATTTAGAGTAGTTTGCA